TTTATTATTCACCGCAGCTGCATCTGCTAACGTTAACTTAAGTCCCAGTTGACGTCTTTTTTTCCGGCTTTTTCAATACAGGGTGTTTCTGATAAAATTATCACAATACAAACAATTCATGGTTACCAAGACACTGGAAAGATGAGACTGTGTAACCAGGGAGGAGCAACTTCAAAAATAAAACATTCAAAAAAAAAAAAAAAAAAATCTTTCAATGCTATTAAACTCACCCACTTGAATGTCCATTGTGCACCTTATTGCCATTTGTGAATGAGATGGTTGTTGAATAGCTTCTACATAGTTTAGGTGTAGGTCGAAGGCTAAGGTAAACAACAGTGGAAAAGGGCCTGCAGGGTTACTTTGCCTTCCTCCAGCAGCCTAGAAAGCATTGTTTATTTTGTAAATTTAATTTTAATCAAAGACTTAAATGTCAACATACCTTTCAAAGATGAAAAGTAAATATGAAGTTGTTTGGGGATCTAGTGCCCCCCAACACTGAAAAGGATCAAGGAGATAAACATCTGTTGGTCTGTCCACTTACATCTCATAAGCTGAGACACTTCTATTTTGCACCAGACATGCTTCTGACATCTCAGACATGCCTCTACGATGTCCTGTCAGAGCCTCAAGAGTTCCGCCCCCGACCAAACACGCTAAATCAATGAAAGCTGGCAGAATATTTAAAACACATTTTAACTCAACTATTTCTCCAACAGCAATAATAAATCAAGGGGCAACACAATCCCAGGCAGACGCTATGACATCGAAGCCAATATTAATATTAGTCTTAAGGATGTTATGACTCCTTATGATTATGCAGAAGTACATGATTGTTTTATTTATTTTGAGAAATGCAGATAATTATGATGAAATAATAGAAAAGCTAGTTAACAAATGGTGGTGCTTTGGCCCAGAGGCAATGTCTCTGTCATTGGTGTGGAACCCCAGGGTTCACCTCCTGGACAAGATCGAATTCCGGTGGTTGGTACCTTCTAGTGGACTCACCACCTGCAGGAAGGTTGAGGGGGGGTTGGTACGGTGCAGTGTGATTTGGGTGGCGGTCATAGAGACTGCTGCCCCCGCGACCCGGTAACGGATAAACAGATTAGAATGGATGGTTGGATGGATAGCTAACAAATGGCACATGATGTGCCATTCGCGAGTGATTCGTTCAACATGAACAAAGCTTTTATACGACTCGTGACTCCCGAGTCATTAGAAAGATTCGTTCATATTAAACCCAGAAATCACTCGCTCACGAATCACTCTCTGTGAATGCATCACTCGTTGAGTGAAATCATTCTCAGCATCCGTCTATATATATTTAGATTTTCAACAAATTTAGTGTCGAAGAACCGCAGCCTTCTTTACAACACCCACAATAGGGCTCCAGCGCCACCTGCTGTAAAATGATTGGAATGATTCGTTCATTTTTACTGTTCGAGAGTCAAAGATCTGGATCAGTAAAAAGAGTTGGTCTTCCCATCACTAAATGGCACTGTTCAAATTCTGCATAAACAGCTCTAAAAAATCCCTTCACAAATGCACTGGTTGTGTGATGTAAAGCGAAATTCTGTTCTTCAACTGAGCAGCACGTAGGCCCTATAATGTAAACAGACAACATTTATCTGCGATGCTCTGACATCCGATTTGCATCTCACATTATGGAAATTCCAGAACGATGAACTTTAACTCCACTCTGGCGTTGCCATAATCTTATCTGCGTTAGAGGAAAGCATTAGCCATAGTGGATGCTCATAAATTCTACAGAACACACTCTTGCATATAAATAGTTTGGAAATGACTAGGCACTGAACTGTGGCACGTCTTCACACTCTGGTACCAATACAATAAAATAAATCAGAAATTCCATTAGTGTGCGAAGGAAATCATTAAAGGTCAGGAAGGTTCTTGGATTCTGAACAGTGGCTTGGTTGAAATGGTACAATGCTAAATGACAGGGAAGTTGAGGTCCCATCTCATTAACTGTATTTACTGGTAGTACATGATGTAATATGTATCTGAATGGAATCTTACAGACGATGAGTAACGTAATTTCTTCATATGAAGTGAGTTTTGGCTCAAACACCGGCCCCCTTTGTCCTTTTCTCGAGGCCTTTCGCTCCTTTTTGTGGGGAAATAATGTGACATTTCCAACCCTTACCATTCTGTCCTGATTTTCACTGGGGTTTTACAACAGGCTATAAAGATGAAATGTGGTGGCTGTTTGGGCTTTTCCTCCCAGCACCACTGCGGGTGCCCTCTCAAACTAAATCACCGCCATGAAAGAGGAAGTGATGGAAAGGGAAGTGGGTTTGTAATCCTCCACTTCCCCCCATCTGATGGGTGTTAAGTGCTCTGTGATCAAATTGAGATGGCAGTTATTTCTGGATTTGCATTGACATCTTGTTTTCGGGCCTCAACTTTAATCTCATTGGTCCACAGCGTGTTTGTGGGACGTGCAGTACATGCTGTCTGAGAATTGTAGTAGTCAGAAATTAATGCAAGCTGAACATTATCACATCATATCAAGTCGGTGACTGCATGGGGAGCCTGTTGGTGGGAGGTCAGAGGGGGTGTTAAGAAAATATCCTAAACCAAATTTTAATTGCAAAATACCCTTCATGTAAAAAAGGCAAATTTGCAATTCAAATCATGCAACAATGTCCGGGGCATTTCCTCCAATATGTGCACAAGGCAACACACACACACACGTGACAAACACATGCACACATTCTTGACCTTGTGCAGACATGCCATAAATGCCCTTCTTCATCTTTCCACAATGGAGTGGTGGTCCCACAGCACTGCTGATTGGTGACTCTTCACAAGGAGGGTGTCTGAGCCCGAGCCTGAGAGTAGTTACGCTGTGTGATAGAAATTCCTCTGTCCGAACAGAAACGACGCTTAACAAAGCAAATCTGAGACAGTGTCACTTTAAAATGGTTCTTGTTCAGATTTTGGCTTCAAGCCTCAGTTCAATGTTCAGATTTGTCAACCAATTCAGGGAAGGGAAAAAAAAAACAACAAATCTGACCGTTGCCACTTCAAAGCATTGCTGTGTTATGAGTTTACAACCATGACTTGGGCTGAGGAGGACAGGGGTGTTCTGTTTCTTAAGGCCTGGACGTCTGAGCCAAGCCACTGTTTTGGCTGTTTTGGTGAAGCTGAACAGCGTCACGGAAGAGTGTGGCTCCCCGCAAACACATGAAATGTCTGACAGTTGTGCACACAATGCGGAATGTCAGACTTGGACTGTGAATGATGGACGGAGAGGGTTTTCTTTTACACCTTTAATCGACAGTGTCCTTTTAAAGTGTCGGTGATGGAGGATGTAGATTTATTTTCGCAGCTGGGTTTTCGCCCTTGTGATGACATGCAGCATATTTCGAGCGACAGCAATGAAATATTAATTCTCCATCGATCTCTATCGCATAAGAATATTATCAGAACAAACACCCAAACAAACACCCTTTTAATTTGAGTCGCTGGTCAGGATTTTGAATATTCACTATGAAGTAAAACTGACTTTTTAATTAAGTAATGCTGTTCTTCAAGGCAGCCAATGCTAACGATTACTGCAGAACGGTGCAAATGAATGAAATCCCCACTTACAGGAAAACTTTAATTTAACTCTTATCCATATCCATTCAATTCAAGGCCCAGAAAAACAAATGAAAATGAAGAAGGAATATTGTTGGGTTTTTTTGTTTTTTTTTGTTTTGCTTGAAGCTTTTGGCAAAAAAAGCTATTTTTCATCAGATTATCCGTAAGAGTGTCAACCCCCATTTGTTTAACAAGTGGACTTGATTGAACGTTGCGTCTCAGCTGCAACTCCGACCAACAGAAGTCTCTAAACATTAGTTATTAGAAAAAAATAGTTATTCAATCTTTTCTTCTTTTTTTTCACTGTCAGTGTGGTGCACGTGTGCATATTAGATGTAACACAGAACCCCCTCCAGGATCAAGACCAGTAAAATGCAGCACAGACAAAAATCTTAATCGGTAACAGATCAAGAATATTTGAAATGTGCAAGAATTTTTGAAGTTTTTCCTGAGCTTTTTTTTTTTGTCCTGACCAGAGAGCTCAACCAATAAAAACAAAGTTTACTGCAGTTTTTTTTATGATTGCTTCAGGGTCCGATTTAATAATGGGTCTGAGTACCTATCCTGAATCGATGTTCTTATTTACCTCTTGGCAAATGAGCGAGCTCGGGTGGATATTGAAAATAGAACACAGATGTTAGAATGAACACCACATGAAAGACAAAAATAAAACATTCAACTACACATTATACTTTTGCACTGTGGGTTGTAATTTGTTTCTTGTGAAATGCTAAATATTGTTAAGTATACGAGTCCTCTGGATGTGGCAGGACCAAAATAAAACTTTGCTACAGCTAGAGTTAATTATAATTATCACATCAGATATGACCGGATTAAAGGCATAACAAAACTACACATACAGTATTTTTTTTATTTCACTTTATTACTACTACTACTACTACTATTCAGTACTACATTACAGATGTGGTTGAACTGTTGACTAACTCATTAGTTCATTCATTATCATGAAACTACAACTTCTCTGATACATCGAACTTACGTCAGTACAGTTACCTTCTAGTATTTCACCCAAGACCTACCATGAAGATTTGGAAATCAGCAGGCAAAAAGGAATGCAGCCAAAATGTGTCAAAGCAAATACTGGTGGACATAACTGACCTTTAAATTCCACAATCAGCTTTAAACCCCTGTGAGAAATCCTTGATATCCTTTGATTTATATATATAATAATTGAGATATCCACTGTCAAATTGAGTTACCACCACAGTACGTCGATCCGCTCAGTAACTAAATACACCCCAAAAATTTAGTAATTTCTGCACAACATATGGCCCTAACACATTGGTCGACTCCCATGTTTATAAGATGTCAAAAAAACAAATTAATTTGTGAATAAACTATGGAAAATTCTAATTAAAACAAATCCTGCTTACCTGCAATAGTTGTGGCTGCCTAATCCGCCCTCCCCGTTGGGGTACTTGAGCGTATTGTACGGGTGCTGGAAGGTCTCATTCCAGAAGAGACAGGGTTTCCCTCCATACAGACTAGTCTGGTTCTGGAGCCCCCTGTAGTCCTCTCCATTGGCTGTATAACACTCTGTAAACAGAGACATGAAACAAATAAATTTTGGGAAAAAATAAACTAAATCAGAAACTGATGCATACTATTAGTAGATGTGTATTAAACAGAAAATCAAACACTTGTAATACGTGACCTGCTTCATGGAGAGTCTGGACTCGGTGATTGTGCCCAGACATAATTAATTAGAAACTGTGCTCGCAGTGTTAAGGAAAGATCAATCAAAGTATTGTTTCAATCAATATCAACACACGTACAAAGAAAAAGAGAGAGAAAACAAACGCCTCCTAGATGTGGGGGGAAAGCAAACATTCACTGACTTTGACATAAAAATGAGGGAATTCAAGGGAACAGGAATATTTCAAGCTATCACTGCCCGTGTGTATACCTTTAATACTGTATATATGTATATTTTTGTTTATGTACATATATGTGTTTGTGAATATATATATATTTATATATAAATGTAAATATATGTGTATATATATATTTACATATATACATATATGTGTATATTTATACATACATATATGTATGTATATGTATATGTATATGTATATGTATATGAATATGTATATGTATATGTATATATTACCCCATTAAGTTGATGACTAGTAAAAGTCATAAAAGTCATCAACTAGTAAAAGAAGTTTCGATACATTGTCATGTGGAATTGTTATGACATCTTGAAATGTGACCAGTGGGCTACTGAAACTCTTTCTCGAACAATAATATCATTCACACACAGTTCCTGTGGAAAATATAGACATGCGTCCATGTACAAAGACAGGAAATAAACAAATCAATATTTTATTTTAGAAACATGTGCACATTTACACGGTCCACGTATCGTAAAGTGAGTATACATATGAAATCTAGAAAGATTAAAACACGGTGAGTTTTTAAAAACTGCATCCATATGTACTGTATGTCTCTCAATGAAACTTCAATAAACAAAAGGAAAACCTCATTTCTGCTCGGGGTCTTGTTGCCCAGAGTGTATGCGGTTGGCCGATGACCGGCCCCTTTCATCAAGTCAAACTGGGCCGAGTATGAGCTAATGCATCGCAATATGACAGTAATTATATTGCTTGGTGAGCCAGCTGTGCTCCGAGGCTCTTTCTTCATTTCTTTGGAGTTCAACTTCCTCTCTCTAACCTTCTCTCCTCTTCTGCCTCGGTCTTTTCTGTCAGCCAATTTCAACCCATTTACAAGTCACAATTTCTTGAATGAAACTACTGTGTCTAATACTGTGAAGCTTAACAACATCTGTAATTGCTGACATGCTGTCATTTACTTATTTGAGAGATTTGTATAAACCTATCAAAGATTCATTATTTATGGTACACATCTAGTAACTGATCACTGTAACGTGGTTCAAGAAGACATCTATTTATCAATCAATCGATTGATCAAGCTATCTATCTATCTATTGATCTATCTAATACATGTTTGTGAAACCTACAGGCTCTCACTGTTTGTGATCTGTCAGCCAATACTGAGTTAATGGTTAGAGCAGACATTTAATTACTTTACCCAAGGTCGTTATGTTTAGGGTTGTGTTTGTCTGTTTGTTTGTTTTTTTGTCACTGCAAAGAACACAATCCTTTTGATGTGTTTTTTTTTCGATTCATGTTTCTGCTTATGTCCAAGAAAGACTTCTCAAACCAGATTAATTTACTTATTTATTACATTTGTTAACCTCATGACACAGAGATGTTACTGACACTGTGGGAAACACAGCCTCCTCAGCAAAGGTTTGTGTTCTATGAGTTCTTTTTTTTCTTTTTTAGATAAAGTTTTTTTTTTTTTTGCCGTGTTGATCAGTTAAGCATTAAGATCAGTTAACATAATCTGGCTGACAAGAGTTCAACGGCAGTAGAGTGTCAGGTTCCTGCTTTTATGATGCCACTCTATTGTCTGTAAATGGGTCCCTACTCTTTTTTTTTTTTTTTTTTTTCAAAAAAAAACACCCGACCACCGGGACTAGCGAGGATATCAACCCCTCTGATCATAAATTCATGTGAGAGTGGCTGAGGCAGTTGGAAAAACAGCTTAATAGTGTTTCTAAAAGGTCCAGGCTCTTGTCACCCGGACACGAGGGAGCAGTAAGAATGTAAAATGCAAATTTTGTCACTCGGAGGGCAGAAGAATGTTTAATAATACACATTTCCACTCTGAAAGCTCTATCTTGAGAGCTCCAGATGATCTCGAGACTTTCAGAAATAAAGCGTTTGTAAATACACAGTATAGTACAATATAAACTGATTAGATTAGCTTGGAGTCACGATGAATTTTTCAAAGCATTTGCATCTGTTCTGAAGGCTGGCAGCCACTGCAGCAGAGGAAAGAGAAGGAAACACTGCTACTGAGAGTTTGGCAGCAGCACAAGCTGAAGCATGAGTCACTCCCCCAAAGAACTCAACTGTAATGGCCCAAGTCAGAGAGAATAACATCATGTAAGGACAGGGCAACCAAGTGCAACCCAAATGAGTTAACTGCCTTCAAATATCGCTTCAAAAAGAATGACAATTTGCACAAAAGGAAGTGGCACTATGCTGTGCTGCTGCTCAAAACACGTATCTGGAAAAAAGAGCTAGATGCAGAGACTTTTTTTCTTATTCTTTAAAAACTTTGCTATGGAGTTTTAGGATGAAGCCGAGCTTGTCTGCCCATGGTCTGCCTGGAACAAACCACTGCTGGCAGTCTTCCTGCGGCCAAGTTAGCAATCCAGGTCGAGATGGTATATATGGCAGCATTTTGCCATACAAGTGATGGGAGTGGGTTGCTCCGTGTGGTTTCTCAGCATCATTTGCTTGTGGTGGGAATAGTAAGTAGACGATCTGTAAGGACTCATAGATAAGTGAGGCCATCGTAAAGATGAATGGACCATTTAAGAGTCCTGCGGACGGCCACACATCTACTAAGCTAAAAAGGAAATTTATGTTGAGATGGGTGGATATGGGAATTTTACCCTTGTCCTAGGACAAGTGAAGAGCTTATCTGCCAATGGGACCATCTCCGCTTCAAACTCTTGATCACGCCCAGCCCCCACGTCACACCCCTTTTCCTTGTCACCAAGCAACTGTTGCGCTCACGTCACATGGGCTTGGGCTTTCGTGTGGTTTCATCAGTGGCCATGATGGGAAACAGAACCACTACCGCATGAAAGTCGAGAAGGAGGGGGAAAGCCTCCTATAAAATACATGCAGATCTACAAATAGAAAAGAGGAAGAGGAGGACTCGCCCTTGACCAAGCCCTGCACTCCAAAAAACCAAGCGCCAACCCAGAAATAACAGGAAAAAAACAGTGAAAGAGTAGAGGACGAATGACAACAGGCTAATAGCCCTGTTATTATATTTGTTGAGATTTGTGGTTAATGATTCCCACATTGCAACTTCAAATGCATTTGATGCTCTGAGACAAGCGGTGAAGGAACTGGAGGAGGTCTTGGTTGTGTGATTGCAAGAACAAACAGGAGGGAAAAAACCTCAAGATTAGAAAAAAAAAATGTCTTCTTTAAAATGTATTGCCAGGTCACAGAGGAGCTTTGATTAGTTGTGTTTTTGTAAGGGACGAAAACTAGTGATAATTACAGACGTTCATAAAGTGTGAACTCATAGAGGACCCGCAGAAAGAACTTCCTTCTTACATTATTATAGACTCTGAGCTTTGGGGACAGCAACATGTGTGAGGGAAATATTTCCTTTAAATATTTGTAAATATTACACCAAAGGAGCTTATAAAAAAGAGTTAATGGTCACAAAAATACTGGTTGGAACAAGAAACAAGACAAACTAGATTTTCTTCAAGGTTTTAGAGACCTATCAACTGCAAAAAATGACAGTGATTACAGGTTATATATGATCATTCACAATGTGTTTCCTCTTCATGGTGTCCTGGTAGTCATTACAGTTGTGGTGTTCATTAATGTCAGTTCAGTAAGAACAGAGGCCAAGGCCAGGAAATACCAGGCCAGATGCAGTGGGTTAGTGAGTTATCTTATGGGGTGAGGTAGGGTTGGGGGCTGGGGGGGGGTTTGGTTCTCTCTCTAACAGAATCTATTTCCACACCAATACCACATCAGTCTTAAGAAAATTACAGGAAGCCAGTGTTACCCATGTTATCCAGATCATATAAATATTCTAATTATCAGGCCTGAAACTAAATGTGATATGACCAAACAGAAGCAATGGCTCTCAGATGAGGACATTTGGAAATTGAAGACCCACACGTTTCCCTATGATTCTTCTCTCAAGTTTTCTACTAGGTGAAAAAGTGCCACGAAATGAGAACAGATTCCACCCCAGTATTTAAATCTGCTGACAATGAGGATTTTACAATTCACTTCTCACGGGTTTGTTGTAGGTGTTAGCCCCTAAACTAAGTCAGGTTCAATGACTCCAAAAATAGCCTCCATCTCCATTCACCACCACTGCAGCCACAGACTCACAAGACTCACTGCCAAAGTTGCTGGGTAGCACCCATAAAACAGAGACCTGTCTCATTCTAGTGCGACCCTATTATTTGGCTCTGAAATGGAAAGAGTCTAATCTGCTGTAGCCTGTGGTGGGTTTCACACACTGCCAGACACAAATTTATTTGACGCTGCAGATATGGAAACCATAAAAGCTTTCTATTTCCTGACATTACAGCCTGCTTTTTTAACCATATTTATGCGTTTTGACCATCGGGCATATCAAAGTAGGCAGAATGAAGGTCTTTTCAGGCCTTTTAAAAACAGCCCAGGATGATATTTGAAACTCTGCACAAACGGGGGAAAAGGTACTTTGGCTTTTGTTACTGGACAACACTGGAGCAGGACAGAATGTTTTTTGATTTTGCTTGGTTAATCATCATAGATGGGTGCAGTGGACGTTAAATTCCTAACATAGATGTAAAGATCACTGAAGCACAGGCTGTCATCCAAAGGAGAGAACCTTCTGGAAAATGTCAACATTGTAGATCTGCCAACCATCCTGACAGGAGAGTAGATGGTATGCCATGTTCCGTTGCC